GATGGACTAATATGGTAAGATTCTTTCTTGTCCAAATAAGAAGGAAATATGTACTAATAGAAAAAAAACTAACAAAATAAAATATGTGTTTGCCAAGTTTGAAAAAAGTTATTTATATATATATATAAAAAGATTTATTCCCTCCTATCTTTTTTATTTGCCATTTTAGCTGAATTGACTATTGAATAAATAAATGTCATTTTGGCTATTTTGTTCATATTTTTCCAATTTTAACCCTCCATCTAATTTCCAATGTCTCTTCATATTCTATCTCTCTCTTGATTTTTCACAAATCTTCATTTACTTTTTACACTAATCATCATTAATTGTGTTACTTAATGGAGTAGTAGTTTTCATTAAATAAGGGTAATATTGTCAACAACAAAAATTTTAATTAGAGTGTTAGTTGCTAGAATGACAAATAAAAAAGATAGGAGGGAGTACCATTTTTTAAAAATGGCAGGTCAATTTTTGGTCAAATCTCTTTCTTCATTAATTATTTACTATTAATGGCAACTTCTTTTTCCTTTTCTTTTTTTCACGTTCAGCTATTAAATGCCCACAAAATGCGGGAGATTTTCAGTAATTAATTTGGTATAAACATTCCCAAAAAATGCGGCTCAATTTCTTATAATGAATACTATTCACTTTAATGATTACTATTCACTTAATTTTTTTTTACATAATATTGCATAAAATTTTATTCGGTAAATGTATGAATACAATTATATTTGATATTTGATTTTTTTATAACACGTGTATTAATACTTTTTGACATGACATAAAACTATTTTTTTAATAATTACAATTTTTTAAGCACGTGTTTTTATGGATACATTTTTATTTCTAATTACTTAACATATAAGTTAGTAACACGATTTTGTTTTCCTGTAAAGAATCCCAATTTTAAGGGAAATATAAAATTATATATTTTTTAATTAGCTCTATTTTTTATGTTTAAAAAAATTAAAAATTTTATTGCTTTCATATGTTGGGACTCTTTTAAAGGGTTTTATATTCTAGATATCTAAACAAAATTAGAGTTATAATTTCACATAACCTCTGTTTGTTGTAAACAAATCCAATTTATATGGAATTCTAAAATTAAACATACTTTGTAATCAACTATGATTTTTATAACCGTTTTTTATGTTTAATTAAATTTAAAATAATATTGTTTCCAAGTTTTGGGATTCTTTATTTCAGTTTTGGCTTTTTTAAAAAAAAAATAAATTATGAAAATCTCTACATACCAGTTATTATAAGATGTAGTGGTTGGAAACAAATCCAACTTATATGGGATTATAAAATTAAACATATCAGTTATGATATGTAGATCGATAATTTATATGTTTAATTAAATATTAATTACACGGTTTCCAACCCTTGGGACTCTTTATTGTTTTTAGATTTTAATAATGTACATATTCTTATAAATACGGTTCTTCTAAATTCATTCTCATCTACAGATTTGCAAAAACGTTTTCCATTCGGCCTTACCCAAATTGTACTTGCATTACCGTAAAAAAAACAGCCATCGAACACTGAAATCTCGAATAATATATTAGAGCAAGCTCCTTGCTTGCAGAAATTTATGATTTGGCAATGCATTTATCCTGAAAATTTAATTTAGAAAATCATATTTTTTTCATTGTTGTGCACATGTCCAATAAACTAAATTTAGTGTTATTATATTCTCTGTATTTTTTACATTTATATTGCCCAAGTTAAAATCTAAATGCATATTTATCATCAAATCCTATGAGCTTATGTCCAATGATGACTAACATGATATATCTGATGATAAAAATAAAAAATAAACCAACTTTGAACAAAAATTCAGATAGATAGCCTATTCATAAACAATTAATAAAAAACAAACCAACCAATTTTGTGTCGAACCTGAAACATTGCAATTATTATTTTCAAAACAATATAGAAATTATTAAGAAAAATTTTACATTTATTTACAGTCTTATTTTGCTTTATTTGATGGTCAACCTAATAATTGTTGTATGTAATTTTTTGTTTTATTTGAAGAAAATTGTGAAATACTATGAAATATGAAAAAGGGAGAGGGAGAGAAATTAGAGGGAATCATTAAATTATGTTTCTATCTATAAATTATTCAACTCATTACTAAGGAAGTTACATGATTCAAACTAAAATATACTTCATTAGTATAGCTAGGAATGTACAATAACTATCTTCATAAAATAGGAATGAAAAAGTTAAACTTAGAATAAAATATAACTTATAATATAGTTGGAAATTAGAAAAATTGTCCAAGCGTTGGGGCAATTTTTTTGGCGACAACAATCAGCATCTGCAGCCCCGGATAGAAGCCCAACAAAGGAGCCCAGTTGAGTGAGGCTCAATTTCTGCAGCCCTTTGTGCAACCCGCGTCCGGCCGGAGTCGGTCTGTGCTCCTCACAACGAGTTAAACAATAATCAAACTCATATGTTGTATATAAAGAGGTTTTTAATAATATAAGATTTTTTAGTGACGAACATTTTATGATGAATAATGTTCGTATGTATTAAACTCTTATATATCCTAATGCATGTCAAATTATAATATTATCCAAATTCATATATCCGTGCATCGCACGGGATACGCAGTAGTTCATGTCTAATACTAAGTCTAACTCCAGAGCAAATTGAATATATAAACAATATTACGAAGCATAGTTTTCGTCATGTCAATATTCAAAACATGAGAATCTGTTACTTAGGCTCAATATATTTTGAATTAATATATAAGGAGGAATATCACACCATCCCAAAAAGGCTAAAAAGAGAAGAAATTGGCATCATGCATCAAGTATCTTCCATAGTGCTCTCTTAAAAAGTTGGCAAAATAAAATATAAAATCCTTTACAAAAAGTAGAAGGACCATATGGCTTCCATGTCAACACATAATTGAGCTTGATAATTACACAATGCATTTTATATCTAGCTCCGAATCTGCTGCTCTTTATTGAGGGGAAATGAAATCTGCTTTTGAATCAGCCTAACTGCCTAAGGCCCTAAATGCATTACTATGTGGTTGATGTATTTATATGTACCTCTTATAGGCATATAGATAAAGCACGGGTAAACCTTACATTGTCGTTCACTCAAAAATTCTATAGAACCATCGGATGATTTACTTATGGAGTCATCCTCCACTTAATGTAATGACACCTGTCGAAATTGTATTTATTGTAGGGCACGTGTCGATATACTATTGGTTAATAAGCGTGGATGACTCCATAAATCGAGTCATCCGATCGTTTCATAGCAAAACTGGTCATTCACTAGTCCTCTGTCTATTTTCTTTATATATAAAGAAAATAGTAGAAAAAAAGCAGGGATTTGAACTCTAGAAACCTATTGTCATAGTTGTGTAACAAATTAAAGTTGGTGGAAGGATGATTGGTTATTGCAACATCAACCTTAATTTTAAAATTCCATGCGCAATCAAATTTAAATAAGATATTTAAAACAAAAAAGGGAGTATCTTTTAATTTGTGCCAATTACTACAAAATCAGGATGGCTATATTAATTGCAAAACCATCCTTGATTTCATAGAGAGCTCTAAATTGCATATATAATTGGGGCTCTTGATAAAAAATGTACTTTTCTCAAGCAATTCAACTTAGACTTTACCAAGTTTTCATATATTCAATGCCAATACTCTTCTCCATAACTTTCTTTCTTTTGTTTTTTAGCATATTCTATTTCTACACAAAGATCAGGAAACCATCCATGGCCTCATAATAATACCCTTAATTTTGCAACAAATATATCTTTATTTAAGCTGCCACTTCAAATCAGTCTTTCGGCTTTGAACAACTGCGAGCGAGACTAAGCCAAAGTCTTTCGGCTTTGAATAACTTCGATTTAGTCATGTAGTTACAGTAGTGTTTCTTTACCTGAGTTTGCAGTTATTTGAAGTGTTGGCTTATTCACCTTTTTTTTTTTATATTGGTTGGAAATGAAGTACGCTGAAATGATGTAAAATGAAAGCAATTGGATACACTAACATATGTGGCACTAGCATGTGAAATTCTTTTTTAAATTTTAGAGCTATTAAACGAACGAGTCGTTTTTTAGTTGTCTTGTTAATATTGATAACTAAGTCGAGTTCTGCTCGGCTGTATTGGGAAATCGAGTTCATCTTTGTTCATTTTGCACTTCTATTTGCATCAAAGAATATGATGAAAAAAATTAATCTTGAATAGACAGTTTTGTTGTGAAGTCATCGGATCTCGACTTATGGAGTTATCTACAGTTATCCACAAATAATTTATTGACACGCGTCCTACAATAAATACACTTTGGACATGTGTGAATACATTAAATGATGAATTGCTCCATAAGAAACCATTTCGATGGATCTATATAATTTTTGCTTGAATAGATATAAATGAACATGCATAGTTAAATTTGATTACTAATATTAAATATTGAATCAATATCAAACTAGTTATAGCTCAAATGCAGGACTCATAAACTAACATGAATCAATATCAGAATTTGTCCGAATCGGAAAAATTGGGTGCTATCATATATTTTTGTATCGGCTAAGTCCATCAGTTGGAGACAAGTGGACGGACTCAAACTCCTGAAATCCGCCGGAGGGTAAACCACTGCCTCTCATGCCCCCGACTGATTCTACCGTAAAGGCCAACGATAGACAATAATTCTCCCCGAACACAGCTTACAACTTTTTTCGTATTGTGCTCTCCAAAGACGAAATTACAAATTATCTTTTATAAATTCAAGTAGAAAATATGAAACTAGTTAGTTTAATTCCATACTTGTTACTCCAAATGAGAGGAAGGAATTTTTTAAAAGAATAGGGGAAAAAAGGACAAAGTAGAAAACAAACAAACAAACAAACAAAAAAAAAAAAAAAAACCTGCTGTATCTCTCACTCTCTCACCATTATACCTTAACCATAGAATATAAAAGTTTCCAGAAAATACCAATTGATTTAGCGAACAAAGTTGCGATGCAAGTTGCCGGTGTGTTGCCGGATTTCTCGGCGATTCCGACGTCGGCCGGTGGGTGCCGCTCGCAGGAACTGAAGCATTTCGCCTCGTTCTTCGATGGCAAGCAACACTTCCTCTCTCCAGGATTACCTAAAGTAAGCGCTCGCGTTTGTTAACTTTTAGTTTTTTTTTGCTGTCAGGGCGTGAAAATTTGAATCTTGTTTTGAGCCCATCTTGTTGTTGTTGTTTATTGGTGCTGTAATTCCTGTCTGCCATTTTTGTTAGCTGCAGTAAGCTTGGGAGATGAATCTCGCAATAAAATGAGATTAAATAACAAATTGGCAAGAATATGTTCGTGGGTTTTGACTGAAGTAATTGTGTGTGAAGGGAATTGGGGAAAAAAGAGTGAATCTAGTTTTGGATGTGAATTGTGCAGCTTTCTGGTAGTGGCAGATATTATTTCTTTTTGGTTTTATTTTCCATTGAAGAGAGGGGCAGGGAAGAATATCGATAACCGGTTTAAACTGATGAAATCGAATGAAATGTAAAGCTCTTTTATGCATACAGCATCGGGTTTAACAGATTGTAGAAGCATATAAGGTGAGACCACAGTTGAATGCAAGCAATAGTCCTCTTACAAGTACTGATACTCTGTACTCTGTAGCATAATATCCTATAACCTACTAAATCGAATTTGTATAACACGTGTTCATGATGCCGTTACCTTTTTCTATGCTTCCTGCATGAATCGAGAATGTTACTCCTGTACTTCAACTTCATTTATGTATTGTTTGTATCATCAAAAGTTGTGTTGTGCTACAGCACGGATAGTTTTCAAATATATTGGCTTATGAACAGAGTTTTCGAACGTGTATTTTTCTAAGTTTTGGTTTTATGCGCTTCGATTTATCAAATTAAGACACCCCTTTTCTTTTCTGTTTACTGACTGGTAATCATTAATTAGAATTGCTTATTGCCACCAAACCATAAGTTAGTGGTTGGGTCAGAGAAGCTGAGAACAAGAAGTTTTATGGTGAGAGCCTCTGGAAATTATAGTGGTGATTTTATTACAGTACCTCCTTTGAAGCTGGAGTCCTCAGTTGGTGAGCTTTTGGCTCAAATTCAGCAAACCCATCCACATCTACTCTTGGCATCTGCCGAACAGCAGCTCGAGAATCTCCAGAGCCAGAGGGATGACCAAAAGGAGACAAATGCATTACCAGCCCAAGATCTCCTCCTCTATGAGTTAGTTTTCTTTTATTTTCTCTCAATATCTTCAACATCAAGGATGTTCAGTCACTAAATTTAGTTTATATTTTTGTTTGCATAACATTGTAGCTATTAAGGGCATGACTTGTCTCCGTACTCTACTGATCTCTATAAATCTATTTTCCTGTCCGACATTTCTTTTGTATGTGAACCATATTTATTTCTTCATTCTAATTTACAAAAGTCGTTTGTCGTCAGTGATCTGTAATAATATAAGCTCCTTCTGTATCTGATTAATAAACATAGTGCTGTGTGGAAAAACATAACTTTTACTAGTATCTTGTGCGGTGCTTAGAAATAGCGTCAAGTCTATGCTTAAGAGCCTGCAGAGAGAGAAGTTTTGTGTAATGTCTTAAAGAGTTTACCTGATTATGATAACCCTGAAAAAATTGGGAATTTGCAAAATGTAAAGGTAACATATAAAAGCACTTGTAGTTATGTTACTTTGGAAGGAGAAAAACCCTTGTTAACTATTTTGCTTAGGTTTGTTTCGTATCTTACGGTATGTTTGGTAACCAAATAAGCTAGCTTATAACTTCTTTGGTTAGCTTATAAGCTTCATGTAATCAAATAAGTTTCGTTCGGTAGGACAAATTTTTTTAAAATACTCGAACTTATCTCATAAGCTTCTTTGGGTAGCTTTCGTTGAAATTTCTTTTCATCTAGTTTATCATCAGTTAATTTTACCAAACACTTTTATAAGTGTTTTATCATATAAGCTAGTTTTTCAGCTATAAGTCATAAGCTATAACTTATAAGCTCGAAAATCACTTATCAGCTATAAGCTATAAGCTCGAAAATCACTTATCAGCTATAAGCTATAAGTTCAAAAATCACTTATCAGCTATAAGCTAGCTTATCGGCTAGTTTTACGCAGTTTTGTGGGCCTAATTTTTGTTTCTTCTCATGTGGGCATGAACCTAAAATCATATATACTCGTACCAGGAGAATAGCCAAAGTGAAAGAGAAAGAACGTCGCAAAACGCTCCAGGACATCATGTATTGCCTGATCGTACAGAGATTCCTCGAGAACCGAATATCCATGATCCCCAAAATAACCATAACCTCCTCCGACCCTTCCGGAAGGATCGACCTCTGGCCGAATCAAGAACAGCAGCTCGAATCCGTGCACTCGCCCGAGGCATTCGAGATGATAACGAGCCACCTGGCGATCGTGCTCGGCGAGCAAGCCATGGGCCCCTTGGACACAATCATCCAGATCAGCAAAATCAAACTCGGAAAACTGTACGCAGCCTCAATCATGTACGGCTACTTCCTCAGGCGGGTTGACGAGAGGTACCAGCTCGAGCGATCCATGGGCACACTTCCCGAGGGCTTTGGCGAAGAAGAACAGCAGGCCCTCAGTCTCGACGAGCCTGTGTCCGAAAAGCAGCTGTGGGACCCGGATTCTTTAATACGGATCTACCCGGACGATGGTGGTGGTGATGACGTGGCGGGCATAATGGATGAAGAAAAAAAATCGTACAAGCTGAGGTCGTACGTGATGTACTTGGATGGAGAGACGCTGCAAAGGTACGCGACTATGAGGTCAGGGGAAGCGGTGTCTTTAATCGAGAAGCAGACACAGGCATTGTTCGGGAGGCCCGATATTAAGGTGACTGAGGACGGGTCTCTGGATGCTTCTAATGACGAGGCAGTCTCGCTAACGTTTTCGGGGCTCACGATGCTTGTGCTTGAGGCGGTTGCGTTCGGATCGTTCTTGTGGGACACGGAGAATTTCGTGGAGTCTAAATATCCGTTTATTAACAGCTAAAGGGGTACTATATATGTTGATGTTTTTCTCTCTTTTTTTTTTTATTTGCTTTGTAGAGAAAGGGAGGTACTTTCAGGTTTTGAAAGTACTGTACTTAGCAAAACGTGTGATTTGTGTTATATGATAGGGGGGGATTAATTATTGATCTCATATTATTAATCAATTTAGTTACTAATGTGTTTGATTTATCTTTTAATTATTTCATTCTACAAAAGCTACTGTACTGCCTTTATGCATGTTCTTGGACAATATCATTTTGTGGAAACAGGAACATCATAATGTTTTGGGCCTAATTAACAAAATCTACACCACTTTGATCCAGTGTTGAAAAAGATAAAAAGATGTTCCTCGATGCAAATAAAAGAGAACGGATGAATATGAGACTGTCTACCCACGAAACACAAATAGAGATTGAGGATATGCAAAATTTGAAGTGATTTTAGCTATTTTTACCTTAATTTTTGGCTTAATTTTGTGTGCAAATAAAACTCATTTTTTTATCTTTGCAAATAAACATCAAACATTTATTAAATCAAACATTTATTAAATGTTGTAAAATTGTCTCAAAACCATTTACGGTCAATCTTGTTGACATGTCCGATCAGAATACTAAAATTGCCTAAAAATCACTCGATGACTTTTCAAAACCATTTCCGCTCCCTCTGCCCAATCACGTAAGATTTCTGATCGACACGTAAACAAGAATTGACCGAAAAATGGTTTTTAGACAAACTTACAACACATAATAAAAACTTGATATTTATTTGCAAAAATAGAAATATTGAGTTTTATTTACAATTAGACAAAAAAAAAAAAATGAAGATTTTATGTGCAATTAAACCTAAATTTTATCCATTTATCATCTACACTTGATAATTTTTTTTGTGATAATTTTTCACGATTGTGATTTGTGAAGTCGATCATTTAAATGTATTTCTTGTCAATGTAAATAAAACAAGAAATCCAACAAAATTAAAAATGAAAAAAAAAAATAGTATAAATCATAAAAATGAAGAACTTCAAATAGTAAAAATAAATAAATCATAAAACAATTGAAGCAAAATAAGCAGGGATCAGAAAGGTGAAGATGGGAGTGCCCTATTGTCGTAACCAGGCAGGGCGGGCAACCCTTCTCGCATTTTTCTAATTTTGCGAGTACATACCACTCATCACATCCCCTTTAAACTTGCCTGAAGGATCATGGTTTTTAAAGTTAAGTTCAGTAGTCCTTTTATTGACCCCCCATCTCAGCTGCTCTTCTTAGATATCCGATGTGGGATATTACTTCAAAATAGTTTGAAGCTTCACAAATCACAAGCTAATGTCATAAGTTACAATATCTTAATATAGGAATACTATTCTTTATATTAATGTTTTTACTAATGTATGTATTCTGATTTTACTTTTCAAACGTATGTTATGTGCATTTTTATTTTACTTTTCAAATCAGTAATTCGTGTAGGGATTCAATAAACCATCTCGTTTGTTTTATCTTTCTAAATTTCTAATGCCATATATTTTGTGATTGAGATAATTATTTAAAACTATTTTCATAAATTTGGATTGTAATATGGTTTATGTTTGAAATAACTAGACTAATTTTTATATTTAAACTTAAATTATAATAGAAAAAATTGATAAGATAACATGGTTTATTTTTTCATGAAATAAGGTAGTTTTTCCATACAATAAACGAAAGAGATGATAGGATAGTAATTCATTTGTATTTATTTTCAATTTCTCATTATGTGATGATAAGTTCTAAGAAAAGAAAATGATAATTTTTTTTTTTTAAAAAAAAGACATTGATAAGAAATATCATCATTTAAAAATTTTAGTAAAATTATACTTTAATAATTTTGGCAAGTGGATAACACTGGCAATCTTTTACTACAGACAGAAAAAAAAAAAAAAAAAAAAAAAAAAAAAAAAAAAAAAAAAAAAAAACTTTTCTCATCACAATATAGGAAATGACTACGGAATCTCCTGTCAGTGTTTTTAACAGTAGATTGTCTATTTACACTAATCTATATGGGGGTGTCTATATGTACACCCCCTTGTGTGTAAAAAAGGGGTGTACATATAGCACTTTTCTTTGTGTAATTTATTAAAAGGGGGTGTACATATAGCATTGCCCATCTATATGTGTATCTAACCTACACTAATCTATAAACTGCAGGAATGATTAGTAACGGGACAGTAGTCATTTCCAGATACTTTTAACTGCTTGATGATAAAGTACGTTTGAAACCTCCATGCTACATCAAACACTGTGCCCCTAATATTATACATAAGATGTGAATAAGATTCAAAAAGCATTTGACAATCATCTGAAAATCACACAATCTAATACGCCTGTTGTATTCGAGCTGAATCACATATCATGTAAGGAAAAAAAAAACTCTGGAGAGCAGACAAAATTCAATAGGGCTATGTTATATGTTTCATACATGTAGCGGATCATGATCAACCTGCCAAACTTGGGATTTTTCGATACCGAGCCGTTTTCCCAACCAAAAGTGAAAAAATGCTCTCTCAAGACAACAAAATAAGTAACTCGGGTCATGAAGTGTGTTCCCAGTAATTGATTCTGTGTGTTTTTGCACAAAGAGAAGGCTCACAGCTTCAGGTTTTCATGTTTTTCACCAGAAAGAATATACTTTGCCTGCTCATGGTGAAGAAATTCAGTATTATGAAATCAGGTTCACTGTTCACTAGAATCCATGAAATAATTAATTTCTGATATCTAATAAAGAAAAGAAAAAAATTATCAACCACAAAAAAAGGAATAACTCCTCGAGGCATACCTGAAAAACAACATACTGAAAACTACTCCCATGGTTGAGATAGTGAAATAGAAGGAGTCGACGCCTTAAGACCTTGTTTGCCATGTATTGCAGATTTTAGCACATTGTACTGCTCGGACACAGATGAAAACAATGCTTGCGTGTAAGCAAGTTTTGCCTGCAAAATGCAAATCACTATCTGATGTAATTCCCGGTACAATAATATTTCTATACGTGTTAGCAAGTTCGCATCCTTCTACATATATACATAAACATAGCCCCACAATATGACATCTCACATCTACAACATTACTGTTTTCCCCAATCAATGTCAAAATACTACTCTCAGTTGAGAAATGATGAAGTAGCACACCAAGGGTTGAGAAATGATGAAGTAGCACACCAAGGGTTGAAAATTAGATGGCTAATTCAAGAACTTTTGATGCAAACTAAAATACAAGTGAATGGAAAACCAATAATAACAAAAAACAAAATTATATTAAAAAAATTAAAAGTTCGTTTACTCCTATAAATTTAACTAATCTGACATGACAATCACTCTAATTGCAGAAATATCTCACATGGTTATTGTTCGCTTGTTCTATGGTGGATAGTTTCCCACAGTATTGACCCTTTTCGATTTTGAGAAGCGTTCTATTCACCTAACCATATAAAACCTTATCAACTCACTACTTATTCCAGCCCTTTTTTATTCTTATATGTTTTAGTACCATTATAGACTTCCATGACACATATCCTGCAAAATTTGTTAATTGTTCAACAAAGACGTCAAATAACCAGCAAAAGTATCAAAGTAACCTCATCAGGATCTTCTAAAGCTGCAGTGACTTCCTGAAAACTGATTTTGGGTGCAACTGATAATCCAACTCCGTGAAAGGCTATCACTCTTTTCTCCCCAATCTCTTTCTCAACCTACCAACAGATTTGGCTCAGGAACATGTACCAATCATACCACACGGGAAAAGAGATAAAGTGATCATACAAAAACACCTGAGCTGGAGGGGGCATAACGTCGTGGCACAATATTGCTAAAGGATATATATGGCCCGGAACACCAGCATGTTCTGCAAGTCGTCTCATGTTGTCCGCCGAGGAAGCATCAAAAGGAGCCTGCAAGTGTCAATATCAATGATGAACTAACAGCATAAGATTTGGATAAGCATGCCAGGCAAACTAATTAAACCTCAAGGCCTGTTACCAATTTACCATCAACAAATTACATCAGATAAAAAAAAAAAAAATAAAAAATAAAAAAATAAAAAAAAAACCCAGTTAAACTTTTCAGTGGTTAATTCTAGTAAAAGGCAGCACACTGCACAGGCAGATCTGTCCATGGCTTTAGCAGGCACGTGATAGAACTATAGAGTCTCAATCCAGTCCTGACATACCCACAAATCATTGGAATACAATTTTTTAGCTAGATCAAATTAAAGGATGTTCTCAAGGGAGTGTAAAAAGATTTTGGGCAATCAATCGTGAGCAAGCTGGTTACGAAAACCGGACAGGGTTATGATAATCATATAATTCTTGGTAAGATTAAATGTGCACCGTAAAATTAGATCAAAAGGCTAGCTAGTGGTGGATTTTAGTGGTTCATCCTTCCGTTATCAAAGATTACACCCAGGAATCCAGAACTATAATACCGAGTTAATGTTTGAAGAGACAATGATTAACACAAAGGCATATAATGTCCAATCATATGGCTTATCCATGAATAGGAGAAGACCAGGACTCTGCAATTTTTTAAAAATGGAGATCTAGTGTTCTTCTCCAAATGTTAAATTCTAAACTACCATTTACATTACAATTATGTTTAAGAATCACTCATAAATTTATAAATGATAACACATGTGCATAGTAAATACTTTCCCGATCTCTTAGACAATGCGAAGGAGGCAAATTATGTTATAACTTGAATTAAAATTATCATGACAAGGAGTACCTTAATGTAAGTCGTTTGAATTTCATGATCCTAATATAGAAGATAATATTTAAAAGCTATCTAAAGATGAGGAAGAGGAAGTTAAAATCTTAGGATAACGAGATAATTCATAGGACACGACAGCAAATCAACTTTTTATGCCCCTTTATGCAACATGTCACCATACTGGATAAAAAAGAACACGTACCGGGTACCATTCTTTTGTGACAGGATCTGGGCGATCCCTTCCTCCACTAGGTGCAATCCAAATAAGTTTTGATCCACCCCTAGAATGAGGAAACAAAGAAATGAACCCTCCAAGGAAACTGGTAGTATGCAAAAACTTAATTATATTCTCCAACCAAGTACGTTTATGATCATTTTATATAATCAAATACATCCTCCATTTTTTGGAAATTGTCTATCAAGAGTTTTAAGAATTAAGAGAACTAAAAATTTGATCAACACATTCCTAATTAAATAATAACTAAAGCAGTCTACTCCCATCTCTCATAACTACTAGACTACCAAATATTGGCCTTAATTTCTTAAAGTGCAGATAGAGAGTGGCTAGAGATCCAAAACAACATTTTCCAAGAAAATTAAGCCTCTAAGAAGAGGATAAAAAAAAGCAGAAAGTACTAATTTGACCAACATCAACCCCCACCACTATCATCACCGTATTGCCCAAAGCAGAAAGTGAATTAAGCTGATAAATGGGCTTGGGTAGAACTCATCCCCAGAAGCTAGCTCAAAGGGAGAGGGTGTCTCACCCACACTTATAAACAATAACATCCCAGCAACTAATCGATGTGGGACAAACATAACTTCTAACACCCACCCTCACGCAGCGTGCCAAACCAAAAAGGTCGGGTCCAAAGCTAACATTGCCTGGGTGCTCTGATACCAGGATAAATGGGCTTGGGTAGAAGTCCCCAAAAGCTAGCTCAAAGAAAGAGAGTGTCCAACCCACACTTATACACATTAACATCCCAGTAACTAATCGATGTAGGACGAACATTACTTCAAAACGAAAAGGTGAACTAACCAAAAGTCTCATGGTCACAAAAGAAAGTTAGGACTACTCTAACTTTATAATATATTCCACTGGTAGATTCTAGAAGCTTTTAACATCTCAATATCTCTTAGGTCAAAAAGCCGTGCAAATGTAGCTATATCTTGAATATATAACAAATGGTAAATGTACCTCAAAAGGATGGCCATTTCTTTCAAGCTTTTCGTGTTAGCTCTTTTTTTCTTATCTATGAGCTTAGGATCATCATTCATGTGTTTTTTTGAATACACACATAGAAGATTCCTGGCCAATCAAAACCATGAGTAATTAGTCAAACAATAAAAGACACACATCCCAAACATCAGTATTGTAGAGAACTGAGCACCTCCCCATACTAAATGGTTTGCAAAGAGGATCTGTAACCACTCTATCCCCTGCCACGTAGATCTGCAATACAGTGTAATGTATTGGCATGTTCAAAATTATCTACATGCACTCTGTGCCCTTTATTATGGCAATTTCAGTTTAAGCAAACATGTTACCGTGTTCTCAGCAATAAACGGATTACTGGATTCAAGCAACAAAGAAATAATAGCTGGATCTGCTTCAGTTTGGTGGTTGGAAATCAAAATAACGTTTTCTCCCTGAAATTTACGACGATAAATACCAACCAAAACCAGATGAATAAGCACGTACAGAGCAGCTATGCAAACAAAACATAACCTTCAGTATGCTATATCATTACCAAATATTGAGTTCAAGCAGTAATTAGGAACTCAGGTACTCTAGAATTAGCTTCAGAGAGTTGACAAGTATAAGTTAATGAAATAGAAGCATGGAAAACAAATAAACTACTTGACAGATGGAGAATGAAGTCAGGGTAAATGGGGCTTATGAGGAATTAGAGGAGAGAATTGTGGTCAACAAAATAGGATAGAACACAGAGAAAAACTATGGTTTTAAGTAGATAGTCTATGATGACAATTGGTCTAATGGAACCAGGATGTGTATTTATAGGCTAAAAAAGTCAGTAGAACAACCTATTATTTAATTTACTGAAATTTTGTAAGCCACCACTAGAAAAAAGAAAGATAACATGATAATTTGATTTACTTCTCCATTACAGCAAGCATATAATTATACTAACAAATGTAGAAGCATAATCGAAGGAAATGAGCAAATGATGCTGTGCTACATACGCAACGGAAAAAGCAGTTTGAACTTATTATACTCATGCTCTGCTGGAAAGGATATATTCTCATACAACAAAAAAAAAAA